CTTAGCGTGGCAGAGTTTCGTAAAACCGGATTGGGTTTAGAGAGTTCAAATTACTCGTATAGTTTAGGCAACTTTGGTGTTAAGTCAACCGTTGCCGTTTTAGACGATTGATTCGTACTTATACGAAGAAACAAGTCTTTGCGGTTTTGTCTTAAAATACCGATGGAAATTACAATTGAGAGGAAACGAGAATCAGCGCGATCAAGACTCGAGAGAGAAACTCGAAGATTGGTTATGCTCGACGTAGGGCAAGTCAGGTGAACCCTTTTAGCTCGCCGTGTGGCGATCTGGATGGTAAGAACCCTTGGGGCAAAGTCAGCGTCTCTTTGGCGAGCTAGGAGCTTGGTTCAGCTCTACGTTTGGCGAGCTAAGACGCTTGGTTTAGCTCTTTGTTCGGCGAGCTAAGAACCTTGGTTAAGTTTTACGTTTGGCGAGCTAAGAGGCTTGGTTTAGCTCTACGTTCGGCGAGCTAAAACGCTTGGTTTAGCTCTACGTTCGGCGAGCTAAGAAGCTTGGTTTAGCTCTACGTTCGGCGAGCTAAGAGGCTTGGTTTAGCTCTACGTTCGGCGAGCAAAGATGCTTGACGCGGGTGATCTCGATTCGTTGAGTTGACTTGTTTTCGTCGTGGAATCTCATCGGAAAGTCCGATTGAGACGAAACGAAAAGCAGTGCGATTATTGTTTAGAGTACGATCAGGCTCACCATAGCTATGAGTTGGATTGTGCGGACCCTCGGGGAAAATTCAGTGCCACTAGGACGAGGTGGAAAGCCGGTCGGCTCGCCAAGATGGCATGCTAGGTTGCTTGGCCAACTCACCGTCTTTTTGGCTGGATAGTATTGCCCAATTCTGCGAGTAGCTTAAGGTTCTTCCGCGAGCAACCTAGGGTTTTGTCGCAAATAACCTAGGGTTTTTATGCGAGTAACCTAGGGCTTTCTCCGCGAGTAAAGCTAGGGCTTTCTCCGCGAGTAACCTAGGGCTTTCTCCGCGAGTAACCTAGGGCTTTCTCCGCGAGTAACCTAGGTTTTTCCGCGAACAACCTAGGGTTTTCTCCGCGAGTAACCTAGGGTTTTTCCGCGAACAATCTAGGGTTTTTCCACGAATACTCTACGGTTTTTCCGCGAGCAGCCTATGGTTTTTCCGCGAGTAACCTAGGATTTATTTCGCGAGTAACTTACGGTTTGTTCCGCAGTTTCTGGGAGAGAAAGTTTTATTTTTCCGAAAAGTTCTCGGAAGCGTCTTTTGCTTAACCCGTGAGATTTGTCCAACTCGGAAATAAAAAAAAAACAATATGGCGTTTGATAGATTTTATCGTTGACCTTAGTGATCTGAGATAGAAATCATGAGCTTGTTTTGTTGCTCTTCCCGTGGCGAAGAGTCGCGATTAGGTTTTCGATTTTGTTGAGTACTACAGCGTTTGCGTGAGCATTCTGTAGGAGCAGTCGCTTCTGGAGTTGTTTTACCAGTGTCTTTTTTGCGAGTTGCGACTTTGTCTTTCATACATCCAAACATCGTTTTGGTCAAGCGTTTTGCGGCTACGCGTAAGAGTAATCCGAGCCCCCCTCCTTCTAGCGCCAAACTGTGGGAACCAAAATTCACACTTGTCGATTTCCGTTAAATAAGGAAACTTAAGAAAACCCTAATTTTCCCGAGGAATCGGATCTCTGCGAAAGCCAACGACAAGTAACCATAAAAATGCGGAAAAATATGAAAAACGTAATAAAACGAATATAAAGAAAAAGTAGATCTTATTCTGATTTCGCGTAAGAGCGTTGCGATCATTACAAGGGTTTACAAAGGTTTTGGCCGCAGGGCCGTCAGCGAGTTATCAACATAAAAACCTTAAACCTAATCGAGTAGCAGCTCGATAACAAAAGACGGAAAAAGATAAGAAAAAGGATCTGAATGATTTTGGACTGAACCTCATGAAAGGCTGCCTACGTACACCTTTCGAGGATCAAGTCGAACGTAGTTCAGTTGATAGAGCTGGACCAGAGATCGAACCGCCTAGGCGAGTTCGTCTAGTAATTGAGCGCCAGTCATAGAAACCGAACTTGTCGAGAAAAAGCCTAAGTTTCTAAGTGCGGAAAATTCTAAGTCTAGAAAAGTTGTAAAAGTCTCAGATGAGAGCTCTGGATTCCGTCCCTTTGCTTCTGCCCTATGCCTCTTGCTTATATACTCCCTTCCTAGGCGGTTTAGTNGCCTAGGCGAGTTCGTCTAGTAATTGAGCGCCAGTCATAGAAACCGAACTTGTCGAGAAAAAGCCTAAGTTTCTAAGTGCGGAAAATTCTAAGTCTAGAAAAGTTGTAAAAGTCTCAGATGAGAGCTCTGGATTCCGTCCCTTTGCTTCTGCCCTATGCCTCTTGCTTATATACTCCCTTCCTAGGCGGTTTAGTCTTTCCATTTCGCCCAGATTCGAGTTTAATGGGAATCTTCCATTCATCTCGATCTTTCCTTTTTTCCCCCGGAAATCTTCTATTTATCCTCAAACTTGACATTTATCTTCAAGTTTGACATTTATCTTCTTTCTGCGAGTAAATCGCCAAAACGTCGTCGTATCTTCGGGTTGGACTTTGTTTAAAGTCGCGAGTGGCTTTTATTGCGTTTTATGACTTTCCGAGCCGTTTTGCGATAAATCCGTTTACGACTAGACGAGATCGTTTCCTGATACGATGCCGTTTTAGATAAGTTTCTCGAGTTAATCGTAAAGCTAAGCAATGTTCGATGTTTCAATTAATCGTTGCCGTTTTCTACGATTTTTACGAAAAATCTCGAATAAATCATATAGTTCAGGCAATATTCGGTGTTTCGTTTAACCGTTGCCATTTTTATACGATTTCCTCGAGTTCTTTTCGACAAAATAGAGTTTTACGGTTTTTATCGTAAAACTCGAACGATAGGACGGATCGAGACGAAACAGGAGACATTTCAACTGTGATTCAGAATACAATTGTGTCGAAGGACGTATGCCTTAAATCAAGGATGTGGGAGATCGAGGCTCGGGATGGTCGGATCGACGTACGGCGAGCTAGTTCAGCTTGGCCAGGTCGTCATATGGCGACCTAGGCGATAAGAACCTGTGGGGCAAAGTCAGCGCCTCTTAGTTCGCCGTTGGGCGAACTAGTCGGGATGAGGCTAGTTCGCCCAACGGCGAACTAAGCCGGCTTGGCCATATCGCCATATGGCAAACTAGGCGATAAGAACCTGTGGGGCAAAGTCAGCGTCTCTTAGTTCGCCGTTGGGCGAACTAAGCCGGTCATGGCTTAGTTCACTGTTGGGAGAACTAGCTGGGACGAGGCTATTTTGCCCACCGGCGAACTAAGCTGGCTTGGCTTAGTTCGGCGTTGGGTGAGCTAGCCGGGACGAGGCTAGTTCGCGTTTTACGGCGGTTTCGGTTTTTCGCGGTTTTGTAAAACGATTCTTCGAGTTTTATAAAACGATTATTCGATTTTTATAAAATGATTCTCGAGTTTTATAAAATGATTCTCGAGTTTTATAAAATGATTCTCGAGTTTTATAAAACGATTCTCGAGTTTTATAAAACGATTTTTCGAGTTTTATAAAACGATTCTCGAGTTTTATAAAATGATTCTTGAGTTTTATAAAACGATTCTCGAGTTTTATAAAACGATTCTTCTAGTTTTATAAAACGATTCTTTGAGTTTTATAAAACAATTCTCGAGTTTTATAAAACGATTCTTTGAGTTTTATAAAACAATTCTTAAGTTTTATAAAACAATTCTTCGAGTTTTATAAAACGATTCTCGAGTTTTATAAAACGATTCTTCGAGTTTCATAAAACGATTTCTTTTATATTTTTGCGGAGACTTTTTGCCATTGATTTGGTCGTGACCGATTTTGACACCAACAAAATGATTTTCTTAGCACAAAAAGTCTTCTCCAACCATCCAGAATTTTTTTTGAATCAAAAGCTTTAATTTTTTGGATGAATATGGAAACAAAGTGAAATAGATGTTGTTTTTAGTTCATAACAATTGAGAAAGAGAGAGTGTAAATCGAATTTGGGTGAATTAATGGCTTCAAATTGGTTGTTCATGGCAGTTAGAGTATTGATGGTAATAACAATCTTGTTTTTAGTTCATAACAATTGAGAAAGAGAGAGTGTAAATCGAATTTGGGTGCATTAATGGCTTCAAATTGGTTGTTTATGGCAGTTAGAGTATTGATGGTAATAACAATCTTGTAAATACTTGAAGATGATGAGGTTGAGAGAGTAAAAGAACTATTTTTCGAAAAAAAAATTTTAGTGACATTTTTGTAAATAATGTGAATAGGTGGGATGAACAAAACAAAAGAAAAGTAAAAAAAAAAAGGTTAGTTTTGTATTTAACTTTGAGTTTTGAATCAAATTTGCAAAAAAAAAAAAATTTTATTTACTATCAACAAAACAATCATGAAACTTTTAACAAAAGAGACAAGACGTATTAAAATCAAGAAAAAAACCACACATAAAACAACAAAATAATGTAATCCATAAGACACCAAAATCTGTTCGTATCTCCCCATGTCTCCTCTCTCTCTTTACACCAAGATAACCCATCTTATCTGAAACGTGTGTTTGTCCAAAAAAACCTATAACATGACCAAACGCCTTGAGAAACCTCTGGTCATATATCGCTAGTCATCTCAAGCGCAATGAGCTTCGTCCTCGGGTCAAGAAATACGGCTTGGTTGGACCCAAGAAGACTCTTATTACTTTCAACAAGTTAGAAGATTCCAATCACTCACCAGTAAACGAACAAACATTGTGGCAAAGATTTGGCTTTGCCTAAACAGTTTTTATTAGGTTATTATTTTGTTTTCTAACTGATGCTAAATATATCTGAAACTCTAACAAAATCAGAGAGAATGTACTTTTAATCAGTTTTATAAATATAATCTTTTAAAATATTATCTATTAACCTATCTATACTAATAAAGTAGGGATATCTGTCCTCTCAAGCTATCCACGTCACTTTTTTAGATAGGGGGCTTTTGTGCCATGTGTCCTACTTTGATTGGTTATCTGATTCACGTTTTTTTTTTAGTGGCCATGTGTCTGTTTGAGTGGGTAGAGGAGAGGACGGGAATTGATCGATTTCTTCTCTCCACATTTCTCTCGGTGGTTCTCCTTTGGCGACTCCTCTGATTCCTTTTTTGTTTCGTTGTTGTTGTTATTTAGGTGAGAGAATGGCGAATGTTGGGTAGCATCCTCGCCGTCTTGAAGTCATCTTCTCCAAGTCCTACTGTCCGTACTTTTTCCCCCTTCTTTTGTCCCTGAAATTGAATTAGCATGAATGGTTTATTAGAATCTGAATTTTATTGAAGGAACACACATGCTCTATCCGATTAAGATTTAAGAACTGTGATTTTGTTTGGTTTGACTTTTGCGTGAGGTATTGCTTGCGTTCAAAACGCATTTTCAGAGAACTCAAGAAACACCCTTTTGTTGCAGAGCTTGAACTGAGAGGTGTATATCACTTTCTTTTATCTTTCCTCCATTCTCTTTTGTTACATGAGCATTTTTTTTCCTTTAGAAAAAAATACAGTTGCGTGTGTGTGCAGAGGATGGAGATCAAATACAGTACCAGCTTCTGGAATTTGTTGGTCGTTGTTTTCAAGCTGGGTGGAGCAGCCTTTGGTGTTTCTTTCATCAAATGGATAGCTTGCTCTGCTGCCATGTGAATATTTTGATGACATTGTTGGTATATACACAGGAAAGTGGTAAATACAAAGGTATGATTGAGGACTGTTGATATATCATAGATGAATCTCATGTGATGAAGTATTTGTGTGTCTTGCTGTCTTTCTTGGACAAACTTGTGAAAGATTCTGGTACGGTTGTGTGTGTGTCACTGTCTTATTGATTTTTTTGCAGATATTCATTGTGGGGCTTTGTTAGCCATTCCTGCGCTTGGAGTTGATTCTATTGAAGCTAAGAGATACATCAGTGGCGTAGCTTGTGGGTTTCTTGATCATTGCTCTCATTCTCTACACTCTCTTTCTCTCTGCATCGTTATTTCTTGGTTCTGGATTTTATCTAAATTGGATTTGTTTCTTCAAAATGGGAAGGGACACGTCTATCGTGATTCTATGCGTTTCTGTAACTATTCTTATATAAAAATCTTGTATCTTCTTTCAATTGATGGTATCCAGAATGGCGAATTTTACGGGCCAATACCTTTTCCTTTTCAATTGTATGTGTCGGTGGAGCAAACAGTCAGTGAGATCATGCCCACGAATTGTTAAGCTCTCTCACCAATTTAGATTAGTATGGAATCATTTATCGTTCCTCTAAATGACTCCTTTGATAACTTACTAATAAATGGTTTTGACAGCTTCAAAAACTAGGAGAAAGGCACAGTTTCAAGCTGTTGAACTGGAAAGAACAACCAAACAACTAAAGGAGACACTGGAAATTTCTAGCGAAAGAAGTTATTAAATAAATCACCGCTCAGGTAAAGTTATCCCCTCTGCTTTGCAAAGAAAAAGAGAATCATGCAGTTGAAAAATGGCTTAAAGACACCTTTTAAATCAGCTGCGGCCATCAAGTGTTTTTGTCATAACTCATATGTTTCAGTCATGATTACGTTGCCCCTTCTTCGACCACATTTAACTCTCCCAACAGTAGAGAAACAGAGCCTTCTGTCTAAAAAAACTGTCCCAGCGTTTTCTGAGGGACCAGAACACCTGTTTTTGGTGGTGAAATTTACCTACACCAAGCAAATCAAGCTGCTGAATCGATAAATATAATCAGCACTCTCACAACCTTAGCAGGAGGGGCAAGGGATCTCAGATTCTCAAACACGTTCATTTCAGGTACATACTATTATTCTTCTTATTTTGAGGGATTAGGTTGAAGATGAAATGAACTAACTTGATAATGATACTGATGGCAGCCGAAAGCGGTTTAGCGAGAAACAAGCAGCAGAGTTGTGGGCAGAGAACAAAGGACGAGTTTATGAACAATACAAAATTCGGATAATCATTGACAAATCAAGGCTGTGTAGGAAGTGAAGACTTGTCTCATTAAAATTAGTTTCCAGTTGAACGCATGGTCGCATTCAACATCTTCTAGGCGGCATGGCATAACCGAATTTTTTTCAGATTTTCTTGGTTTGGTTACACCATTGCGTACTGTATTTTATGCAGTTTATAATAAAAGTTTTTTACGACGCAGGACAAAGAAACATGTTTCCAAATAAGATCAAAGCTTTAAACCGGTCTACCAAATCTATTGCCTTAAGTTTTCTGATTCTTCTTCTGGAGTCCCAGTAAAATTACTAATTTGTTGTTTCGTCCTCAAGACTTTTTTACTTTTATATTCAAGTTTGGTTTACAATTTTGTTTGAATGAAATAAGACAATCATAATAACCGGGAAGCCTTAAAGCTTTATCTTTTAGTTCATTTCACTGATACACACAGTATAATGCAGGTATCTTATTACTTTATCTCTTCTTCACAGACACTGGACGAAATGGAGAGTGTAAGCAGCTGCCGGGTCATGGTTGTCCGCCGATACGGTTCTGCTGTTTTTATTAATGTACGTTGAGTCTCACCTCGGCATGGGTCATGGACATGCTTCTGTTAAAAATTATAGTCTTTAGTATTTTTAAGTATTACGTTGTGTTAGATTATGTTGTTCAGTAGAAGCCTCTGTTGACTGAGAAAATATGCAGGTTACATTGTTCTAAAAACTAATTTTCTTAATCTATTAAAATATTAAGCTTAGTTTTCTTGGTAACAAATGTTGATCTAAGTCCTCTATCAAATTAACATAATAGGTATACAACATTTTAACAGTGGTTAGACAACAATGATGCCCAATACATATATTTTTCTTTAATCTCAGATAAGAAATTAATATTGTAAATTAGTCAAACAATTGTATTAAAATCTCTCCATAATTCTCTTATATATTACAAACATAAAGATCATGTAATTAAAAGATTAAAACGTTGAGTTACTTCTTTTGGTTTGTGTTTGAAGAGAAAAAAAAAATTCCAAAACAAAATTGTATATTTGTATACGGCTTGATTCATCTTAATTTCCAGATTATTAATGGTTACACTAACATTCAAATGATTTAGGATAAATTATGGTTTGGTTCATTCCTATTTATATGAAGTAAATGATTTGTTATGATGTGGTATGAAACTCAATTAAAACTCAGCTATAAATTTAATTATTGATAAAACGTAATATAAAAAAAATATTTTCAAATAGATGAGAAAAATTCCAACAAACTCTAGAATAATCTACAAAACCTAATTACTAACACACTAAAAGCTAAATAGTTTTTCATTATAAATTAAAAATCTAATATACACTGAAATAAACATATATTATCAAACATCATTTGTTGTCAAATAAAATATATTATTTTTTTAATCTAGGGCATTATTGAAACAATTTATATAGTACTTTAAAAAATAATTTTTATATTTTATCACATTACATTATGTTTTCAATTAATTTATCGTGGAGGTTGATTAATTGATTATTTTGAGAAAATTAATTAGTTTAATGATACTATAAATTGAAAACTCTTAGAAAAAAATGTATTGGTTATTCATATTTCAAATTTCTTCAACTATATCAAAGTGAAACATATTTGAAAATAAGAAATGTAAATAATTATTTAAAAAAAAAAATTATATATTCACTTTAAAAAAGGAAGTTAGAGCACCTGCATTGGTGATACCCATTGGAATCCTTAGTTTTTGATTTTTTAATTATTATTTTTTTCATATAAAAAAATAAATACCAACCAATCGCGGATCAACACATGTCGTGGGGCTCGCAAATAGTGCAAGGATTCACTAATAAATAATCCTTATTTACAGATTTTTAAGGATGAATTCTTAATTTTTTATGGGTCTACTGATTATTTAATTATCTTTTCTTAAAAATTCCTCATTAAGGATCACTGCGGGCGTTTTTAGTAGTTCTTTGAACTAAAACCAACAAACTTTAATAAAATTTACAATATGATCCTAGAAAAAAAACTGTATTTATTATGTTCAATTTAAAGTAATTTTTCAATTTTTTTATAAAAATAAAATATATTTTAAATTCACCCGCCCGTAGGGCGGGCCAACCCCTAGTAACATAATATTTTGTAGGTAGTACTGTGGTAGTAAACTCTTTTAGTGTATATTAAAAAAGTATAGTAATAGGGTCATTCAAAACTAATAATAGCACACCTTATCAAAATATAACATTTTCTTAAATTGCTGAATAAACACTTTTTGTGAACCACTATTATTGACCCATGTTTGTCATTGTTTTCTTGGCGCACACATTTTCTAGCATCAACTGTTTTAGAATAATATTAAATTCTTTTAGGAGCAACTATTATTTGTTAATTGGCTTCACAGTGTAGATAGTGAGTCAAACGCTCAGGTACTCCTGCCCAAAAAAAAGAGTTGAGATACTTCTGCCCGAAACTGATCGGATTTGGAATTTAATATAACTTTTTAAAAAATAGAAAATTTATTAAAAGACCACGAAACCAAAAGAAACTTAGATAATTATAACTCTACCTACGACTATCCAAACCCGGACCCTAAACCGACCCAAAAAAAACGGATACCCACTTTCAGATTTTGAATTCCTGAATAGGTTTCTTCTTATTGGTTCAAAATTGGAATGAGGTGAAAATAATAAATGGAACTTGTAAAGTTATAGGTAGGTTTCACTAATTACTACTCCCTTTGTCGACCGTTCGCACAAATCGAAATTCTGAAAGCCCTAGTCAATCGAGAATCAAAACCAAATCATGTTGAGTCGAGACGATCCGAAGTCAAAAGAAGACGGCTAGAGTAGTGTAGGAGGAGATGACACGGCTATGGTTATATTATCCGGAGATGAAGCAAACCCAAGCCGCATCGAGAAATCTGTCGCCTCAGGAACCGACGAAAAAGAGAAGGAAGCCGTAGACGAAGGAGAACAAGAGAAGGAAGCCGTAGATGAACAGAATAAAGACAGAGAAGAAGAGAAGGAGCCGAAAGAAGTGGAAGAGGAAATGGAGCCCCGAAGAGACGATGAAACGGCGATAATTGTACGACCACATGGAACTGAGTCGCATGCAGAGTCGGTAAGTAGGAAAGATGATTTGAAGAGATTAGATAATTCTGGAAAACTAAGTGCAATTTAAGTTACTTATAATTTGTTGATGACTTTGTGAATCTGAGTGGAACTGCAACAATATAGATGTACGAACCTTGTGAAATCAAGAAAAACTTTAAATGAGTGATTGCTGAACTAAGTCAAAGTTTGTGAAACTATATGTTGATGGTTGTAAGATGTCGTATGAGATCCGGTATTCACTTGAGTGCATGTTGTAGATGACAAGCATGAAGGCATGCAACCGCTGAAGTTGAGCTTTCCTTCAAGCCAGTATCAAACGTCTTTAAAGCTTTCAGGAAAATGTTACATTGACACTTGCATAAGAAATATGCAAACAGTTCTGAAAGAGAAGGAGATGGTATGGTTCATAGAGCACCCAAAGTTCCAATATTTCTTCCATATCAAAAACCGAAAGCAGAAGTGGATGGGACTGTGGCTTCTCGTTTTGCGATCAACTTGTGTAGCAAATAAAAATGAGTTATGGTTTATCGTTAATGGCGTCGCAATCCGATACTCGCTCAAAGAATTAGGACTCATTTCTAGACTATACTGCCATGAGTATACCCCCAACCAGGAGAGGTTGGGTGGTACAACATTCATGAACAAGTATTTTGGAGGGAAAAGGGTAACATACGCTGACGTGGAGAAGCAGATGTTGTCAATGAAATCAAAGCCATCTGAGGATCGTAAGAAGATGGCCGTTCTGTACTTATTAGCCAGCATCCTCGTCGGAGGCCGAAAGACTGGTGACGCAGCATAACCTGTGGACAGTTTCTTCCTGAATGTTGTTGATGACCTAGATGCGTGTTTAACATTTACTTGGGGGCGGTATGCATTCGAACATAACTTGAAGGATGTCTCTAGGTTCTTAGAGAAATCCGACGGGGTTGCGCAGAAGAGTTGGGTTTTTACAAGCTTTCCTTATTCCTTTGGAGGTATTTTGAAGCTCTCTTTACTTAATTGTGTTAGTGTTAAATTGATGTTAATGTTTATTTGTTGTGTGTTCGTAGTTGTTGGCCTTTGAGGAAATCCCAAGCTTAAGGAACCATTTCCGAGAAAATGTGATTGGTGCACGCCCTGATTGTCCGCGGATGTGCAAGATGGAGTACAAACGCAAAAGTGGAACCAAGGAATTCAGTGTCAATTCTATGAACCAAAAACTTGGTACTGATACAAAGGTGAGATAATTGTATTAATTCGACTGATGAAAACTTGGTGAAACCATGAAAACTAGGTGACGGGACTTATGAGACTTATGAAAACCTTGTGATATTAAGCAGTTAATGTTTTTTTGTGTATTTGTCACAGGATATTGAGAGTATCTTGGTAGCAAAAACAGCTGAGAAGGAACTTCTGGAAACCATAGGGATGGACAAGGAAAGTTGTTGGGCTGATGACTCCGATGATGCAGCAGTTGATCGTTGGATGAAGATATTACAGAAAGGCTCGACACAAGTTTTCTTTGAAGAACAGTTCCACATCGATTGCGAGGCTCGCACAGCAAAGCTTAAAGGTCCCACCGATACTATCGGAGGACCATCGAATAATGCGCAATCTGGTAAGGCTCATTCAGATTCGGTGGAGGATACTGGACCTGAGGCTTTGAAAGCGATGGACGGTCGGCTTATGAAAGCAGTCGAAGATGCTGTGAACGATGCTGTGAAGGATTTGAAGAAAACAGTCTTTTCATTGTCTGACAAGCTAACTCTTCTAGAAGACGAAGTGAAAAGTCTTAGGTCGAGTGGTGATAATCCGTCGGAGGAGAATAAGGAGTCGGACGAAGAGGACGATGTTGATAAGGCATCGGAGGAAGAGGATGGTGGTGATAAGGAGAGTAAGGAGTCGGAGGAAGAAGATGACGTAAATAATTACATTCGCGATGTTACAAACAAAGTGCAGAAGAAACATGGTGATGTTGGTGATAACATGGATGAAGATACTGCACAGATGATTGTTCATGCAGAGAAGCATGAGAAGGCAGAGGCTGAGAAGGCAAAGAAGGAAAAAAAGAGGGGGAGAATAGATGATGGAAAAGAAGCAGAACCTTCGAAAAAGACAAAGGGTTTAGGAAATGTGAGAAGTCCCGTTAATACAAGAAACATGGGTTTTGAAGGCAGCAGCTGAGAAGGAGGCAGCTAAGAAGGCAGCGTCTAAGAAGGAGGCAGTTAAGAAGGCAGCAGCTGAGAAGGCAGCAGCTAAGAAGGCAGAAGAAGCCACCCCTGAAGCCGAAGAAGAGTAAGACAAAGAAGGTAGGTAAGAAGACGGAGTAAAATCCGTTTGTAATTGTTTTAATGTGGTTGAACTCTATTAGGTTTGTATGACATATTTGAATTTCCGTATGACTTGCATGTTTGTTGTTTAAAACTTAAGTTAATTAAGACTTGTGTGTTTTTAAGAGGGATATTGGGAGAAACTTTCAAAGTTTCACTTCCAACTTAACCTAAGTTTGTAAACCTAACTTCCTTCGAAAATCTCGAAAAAGAGGGAGATTGGAATAAACTTTCAAAGTTTCACTTCCAACTTAGCCTAACTTCGTAAACCTAACTTCCTTCGAAACTCTCGAAAAAGAGTGAGAATGGGAGAAACTTTCAAAGTTTCACTTCCAACTTAATCTAACTTCGTAAACCTAACTTCCATCGAAACTCTCGAAAAAGAGGAAGATTGGGAGAAACTTTCAAAGTTTCACTTCCAACATAACATAGGATGAGGTGAATGCCGAGTTCATAACGTAACTGAAATAGATAGATGTTCGGGTGAACATAACATAGAATCAATAAATACATAAGATGAGAGGTTGATAAAAGAGGAACATAATCCGAATCTCATGGAGTGGTAGGATTCGGACGGGTAAGCTTATACTTCAGTTCATACTTCAGTTCAGCAATCTCCTTATCCATCGCATCCACACGCTTCCTTAACATTTCGACCTCTTCCTAGACTCCGAAGACCCATGGTTGACGGAAATGAAAGCCATCATTCTACATGTGAAACGGAAAAGTATCAAAATTTGCACATAAATAAAACCCGAAAGTATCCACAAATTACCTCAAAATTTTTGCAAGTGAAGTATTTTCTCCCTGGTAAAGTATCAATATCGGTTGGATACATCGGGTCCCGAGACACCTCGTTGATGATTCTACCTCCACAAGGGCATCTGGTCGGAATCCCACACTCAGCATCCGCCACGAAGCCACGCATGTCGAATTCTCTCTTCAAAGCCTTCATCTCCCTATACTCCTCGTCTGGATGAGTCATGATTTTGAGTAATCGAGAATTCTAGAAAGAAGAGGGACAGAATACAGATCTGAGTTCTCGCCAAATCAATCTAGAGAGAGAATGAATAAATGGGTGAAACACAAAAACAATGGCTTTAATACATACACGTCTACTCATACACGTCTATGTCGATTTTGGGGAAAATTCAAAAAGCTGGGCGGGAAATATCAAAAAGCTGGGCGGGAAAAATTTGTAAATGATTTTCGTGCTTAAAGTTTCACTTGGTGTGTAGTTATACAAAAACCTTTTAAGTTTTACTTTTCTGTTTTTTGCGATTTTGTTGGTTTTACTGTACTTTGATGATTAATTTTATGGTTATACCAGCTATATTCTTTTTGATATGAACGTTTTAGATGTTTTAGTGTAGAAAACAATTTTTTTTGTGACATAAGTAACTTTTATAATCCCACAATGTAGTGTATACAAAAAAAAACATCTAACAATGATGTATTCCCTTCCCAATTGATAGAAAATGTGATCCACATTATTAAAATATTTCAGTCCACGTGATACGGATCTCAGAACATGTTGAATAAGTTACGTCATATTCCATAAACATGATTAACTAATGTCATCGCAGGTGTAATTACTCCAAATCAACAATAATAACACAAGTTTCACCAAGTTTTAGAATTATATATCGCAATAACTTTAATTAGGTTTCACCAAGTTGCACATTCACATAACGCATGTTTTCACAAAGTTTTTGAAGATTTCCTCTACTTTCACCAAGTTTTACACTCACAATCAACTCCTGTGTTCACTGTCTTGGGTGCCTTGAGTGCCTTGTGTTACCGTGATCCTTCTGTTCCTTGAGTTCCCTGCGAGCAGTTGAAATAGCTTGCCAAGCCAATATCCGGGTTATACTTATTACGACGGGGACGTGGCCATCTTTCTCCTGCCGAAGGAAACCTGTTTTCCTGATGTCTTCCTTTTTTTTCACGTACTGTGGAGGTAAGAGACACTTATCCGCGACTTCTTTTGGAACCATTCAATCAGACATATGAGGGACTTGATATACATACCTTCGATACGCCAAAGCCCACACTCTAATGAAGTAAGAATCCGAGACAAAATCATACATGTCACTCACCTATATTGGTCTATCATGCTTCAAACACTTAATGATAGCGTCTATTGCATGTCTACACGGTTATTTATCTATATTAAACTTCCTGCAACTGCAAGTTTTCTTGTGCAAATCCACCAAATAAGTCTTCCCATCTTCTCCAATAACACGGTATTCAAGCTGAAAAGTGTTCATCGGAATCACATCAAGTCCTGAACCTTTCGGTGTTCTGTCATGAATTTTGTTCTCCACTAAAGGAACCAATTTTCGAGATGCCGGTCCGGCTGCTGCATCCTTCCTATGTCTGTTGAACCACTCAGCCATTTTGTCAATAACTGTATCAAGCATAGGCAATAAAGACATGCTTCGCGCCTCTTTAAAAAGCGCATTCAAAGAGTCCACACAATTAGAGGTGTCTATGTTGACATCGGCAGTATCATCAACATAGTTACCACACGCTGGATACTTCTCCCTAAAATCTTGCAACTGCATTTCAAACTCATTCTATGAATAAAAACATGCAATTTTTCTGAATTGTTTCGCAACTTCCTCCCTCCCATGTCTGACATGGCCTTTCACATTGTGCGATAGATGCCAGATACAATACCCATGTTTAGACAGCGGATACACTTCAGCAACAGCGTTTATCAGACTTGCATTTCTGTCTGAAACAAACACCAATTCCGTCGAATCTGGAATAACAGTTTTCAGCGTCGTGAAAAACCAATTCCAGCTTTCTTTTTCTCCCCATCAACGACACCAAAGCAATTGGATAATGGTGAAGGGGTTTGGATCCTGAGCCGTGGCAATAACTAAACAACCACCTTCAACAGTCTTCAGGAAAGTTTATGTGGGAAACGAGATTCACACTTGTCGATTTCCGTTAAATAAGGAAACTTAGGAAAACCCTAATTTCTCAGAGGAACCGGATCTCTGCGAAATCCAACGACAAGTAACCAAATAAATGCGGAAAAATATGAAAAACGCAATAAAACGAATTTATAAAGAAAGTCGATCTTATTTCTGATTCGCGTAAGAGCGTTGCGATCATTACAAGGAATTACAAAGGCTTTGGCCGCAGGGGCCATCAGCGAGTTACAAACATAAAACCCTAGATCTAGTCGAGTCGCAGCTCGATAACGAAAGACGAAAAAAGATAGGAAAAAANGGAAAAATATGAAAAACGCAATAAAACGAATTTATAAAGAAAGTCGATCTTATTTCTGATTCGCGTAAGAGCGTTGCGATCATTACAAGGAATTACAAAGGCTTTGGCCGCAGGGGCCATCAGCGAGTTACAAACATAAAACCCTAGATCTAGTCGAGTCGCAGCTCGATAACGAAAGACGAAAAAAGATAGGAAAAAAAGGTTTGATTGATTTCGGACTGAACCTTATGAAAGGCTGCCTACGTACCCCTTTCGGGGATCAAGTCAAACGTAGTTAAGTTGGTAGAGCTGGACCAGAGATCAAACTACCTGGGCGAGTTCGTCTAGTAATTGAGCGCCAGTCATAGAAACCGAACTTGTCGAGAAAAAGCCTAAGTTTCTAAGTGCGGAAAATTCTAAGTCTAGAAAAGTTGTAAAAGTCTTAGATGAGAGCTCTGAAATTTTTCCCCTTGCTTATTCCCTATGCCTCTTGCTTATATACTCCCTTCCTAGGCGGTTTACTCTTTCCATTTCGCCCAGATTCGAGTTTAATGGGAATCTTCCATTTATCTCGATCTTTCTTTTTTTCCTGCGGAAATCTTCTATTTATCCTCAAACTTGACATTTATCTTCAAGTTTGACATTTATCTTCTTTCTGCGAGTAAATCGCCAAAACGTCGTCGTATCTTTGGGTTGGACTTCGTTTAAACTCGCGAGTGGCTTTTATCGCGTTTTATGACTTTCCGAACCGTTTTGCGATAAATCCGTTTTACGACTTTAGACGAGATCGTTTCCTGATACGATGCCGTTTTTAGATAAGTTTCTCGAGTTAATCGTAAAGCTAAGCAATGTTCGATGTTTCGATTAATCGTTGCCGTTTTCTACGATTTACTCGGGGTTTTATTAAAAACGCGTTTTGTACGATTTTTACGAAAAATCGTATAGTTTAGGTAATATTTGGTGTTTCGTTTAACCGTTGCCGTTTTATACGATTTCCTCGAGTTCTTTTCGAGAAAACAAATTTTTACGGTTTTTATCGTAAAACTCTAATGATAGGACGGATCGAGACGAAACGGGAGACATTTCGACCGTGATTTGGAATACGATCGTGTCGAAGGATGTATGCCTTGAATCAAGGATGTGGGAGATCGAGGCTCGGGATGGTCGGCTCGACGTACGGCGAGCTAGTTCAGCTTGGCCATGTCGCCAGCAGGCGAACTAGGCGATAAGAACCTTTGGGGAAAAGTCAGCACCTCTTAGTTCGCCGTTGGGGAGTCTCTAGTTTGCATGTTGGCGAACTAAGCCAAGCTGGCTTAGTTCGCTAGCAGGCATACTAGGTTTTGTAAAACGATTTCTCGAGTTTTATAAAATGATTCTCGAGTTTTCTAAAACGATTCTCGAGTTTATAAAACGATCTTCGAGTTTTATAAAACAGATTCTCAAATTTTATAAAACGATCCTCGAGTTTTATAAAACGATCTTTGAGTTTTATAAATCGGTTTCTCTAGTTTTATAAAACGATCTTCGAGTTTTATGAAACAATCTTCGAGTTTTATAAAACGATCTTCGAGTTTTATAAAACAGCTTCTCGAGTTTTATAAAACGATCTTCGAGTTTTATAGAACGGCTTCTCGAGTTTTATAAAACGATCTTCGAGTTTTATAAAACGATCTTCGAGTTTTATAAAACGGCTTCTCGAGCTTTATTAAACGATCCTCGATATTTATAAAACGATCTTCGAGTTTTATAAAACGGCTTCTCGAGTTTTATAAAACGATTCTCGAGTTTTATAAAACGATTCTTCGAGGTTTATAAAACGATTCTCGAGT